AAAAAAAAAAAAAAGAACCTCACAACCCAAAGAGGGAAACGCAGGTGCATTCACACACAACCCTCTTGACCCGGGTTACTGAATTCACCCCTTTTCCCAGGTCGGCGAGGACATCAGAGCATTCCCCCCGGCAGGCTGGGTTGCTTGCACACACGGAGCCACAAACAAGCGAGTTTCGCAACAAACCCAACTTTCCATATTGCATTACGGGGAGTCCTCGTTTAGTGACATCCAAGGGGACCGGCAACTCGGTCACTAAAGTGATACGTCGCCATTTTATGATCTGGCTTCAGCTTGCCTGTTTCGCTTAGCAAGAGAAACTCTGGGCTCAACTGAAGTCCTAATGCAAGGACTACCTGTAATTCCTTTGCACCCGTGTCCTTTTTCTGCGAGGAAAAAAAACCTGCCATACGAGCGCGTCACAATTTGCAGCATCCCGTTGGCTTTTCGCCTCCCAACTTTCACACGGCGTTTACTTTTGTCCGTTTTATAATACCAACCCACCTGACAAATGGTATCACTTGCGTTCAACGTCGCCACCCAGTTTTGCAGGAAGCAAAAGTGAACGAAGCCACTGCGGGCGTTCGATTTTGGGATAATTTGTGGGGGGTTTTTCCCCCCACCCAATATGCTTCTTTTAAACTTGGCAGAGTTTGGGGATCTATTCCGGGATGATATGCAGAGCCTCCAATTCCAGCCTCCTGTTTATTTCAATTCTGGTTTCCCCTGGGAATTGGGTGGTGGGGATGCAGGGATTTTGGAAGGGAGGGAGGGAAGGAAAGAAGAAGGAAGAAGGAAGGAAATGAAGAGGAGGGAGAGAGGCAGGGAAGGAAGGAAGGGGGGAAAACATTAAGAAGATAGGGAAGGAAGGAAGGAAGGAAAAGATAGAGAAAGAAGGAAGGAAGTAGGGAGGGAGGGAAGGAAGGAAGGAAAAAAGGGAAGGAAGGAAGAAGGAAAGGAGGGAGGGAAAGATAGGGAAGGGAGGGAAGGAGAGAAGGGAAAGAAAGGGGAGGGAATGTAGGACAAAGATGAGGGAGGAAAAAAGGAAGGAAAAGATTGAGAAGAAAAGATTGGAAGGAAGAAAGGAAAGGAAAGGAAAGGAAAGGAAAGGAAAGGAAAGGAAAGGAAAGGAAAGGAAAGGAAATCGAGAGGGAGGAAGAAGATAGGGGAGAAAAGGAAGGAAGGAAGGAAGGA